TCTGTGTGATGAGTCTGTGGGTCTCTATGAGTGAGTCTATGCCTCTCTGTGTGGTGAATCTGTGGGTCTCTATGAGTGAGTCTATGGGTCTCTGTGTGGTGAGTCTACGGGTCTCTATGTAGTGAGTCTATGCCTCTCTATGAGTGAGTCTATGGGTCTCTGTGTGGTGAGTCTGTGGGTCTCTGTGTGGTGAGTCTGTGGGTCTCTGTGTGATGAGTCTGTGGGTCTCTATGAGTGAGTCTATGCCTCTCTGTGTGGTGACTCTGTGGGTCTCTATGAGTGAGTCTATGGGTCTCTGTGTGGTGAGTCTATGCCTCTCTATGAGTGAGTCTGTGGGTCTCTGTGTGGTGAGTCTGTGGGTCTCTATGAGTGAGTCTATGGGTCTCTGTGTGAGTGAGTCTATGGGTCTCTATGAGTGAGTCTGTGGGTCTCTATGAGTGAGTCTGTGGGTCTCTATGAGTGAGTCTGTGGGTCTCTGTGTGGTGAGTCTGTGGGTCTCTATGAGTGAGTCTGTGGGTCTCTATGAGTGAGTCTATGGGTCTCTGTGTGGTGAGTCTATGCCTCTCTATGAGTGAGTCTGTGGGTCTCTATGAGTGAGTCTATGGGTCTTTATGTAGTGAGTCTATGCCTCTCTGTGTGAGTGAGTCTATGGGTCTCTGTGTGGTGACTCTATGCCTCTCTATGAGTGAGACTATGCCTCTCTGTGTGGTGAGTCTATGGGTCTCTATGAGTGAGTCTATGCCTCTGTGTGTGGTGACTCTATGGGTCTCTGTGTGGTGAGTCTATGCCTCTCTATGAGTGAGTCTGTGGGTCTCTGTGTGGTGAGTCTGTGGGTCTCTGTGTGGTGAGTCTATGGGTCTCTGTGTGGTGAGTCTGTGGGTCTCTGTGTGGTGAGTCTGTGGGTCTCTGTGTGGTGAGTCTGTGGGTCTCTGTGTGGTGAGTCTGTGGGTCACTGTGTGATGAGTCTGTGGGTCTCTATGAGTGAGTCTATGGGTCTCTGTGTGGTGAGTCTATGGGTCTCTATGAGTGAGTCTATGGGTCTCTGTGTGAGTGAGTCTATGGGTCTTTATGAGTGAGTCTGTGCCTCTCTGTGTGGTGAGGCTATGCCTCTCTATGAGTGAGTCTGTGGGTCTCTATGAGTGAGTCTATGGGTCTCTATGTAGTGAGTCTGTGGGTCTCTATGAGTGAGTCTGTGGGTCTCTGTGTGAGTGAGTCTATGGGTCTCTATGAGTGAGTCTATGGGTCTCTGTGTGGTGAGTCTACGGGTCTCTATGAGTGAGTATATGGGTTTCTATGAGTGAGTCTATGCCTCTCTGTGTGAGTGAGTCTATGGGTCTCTATGAGTGAGTCTATGCCTCTCTATGAGTGAGTCTATGGGTCTCTGTGTGAGTGAGTCTACGGGTCTCTATGAGTGAGTCTATGCCTCTCTGTGTGGTGACTCTATGGGTCTCTATGAGTGAGTCTGTGCCTCTCTGTGTGGTGAGTCTATGGGTCTCTGTGTGGTGAGTCTATGGGTCTCTATGTAGTGAGTCTATGGGTCTCTATGAGTGAGTCTATGGGTCTCTATGAGTGAGTCTGTGGGTCTCTGTGTGGTGAGTCTATGCCTCTCTGTGTGGTGAGTCTATGGGTCTCTATGAGTGAGTCTACGGGTCTCTATGAGTGAGTCTATGCCTCTCTGTGTGGTGACTCTATGGGTCTCTATGTAGTGACTCTATGGGTCTCTATGAGTGACTCTACGGGTCTCTATGTAGTGAGTCTATGCCTCTCTGTGTGAGTGACTCTATGGGTCTCTATGAGTGACTCTATGGGTCTCTATGTGTGAGTCTATGGGTCTCTATGAGTGAGTCTATGGGTCTCTATGTGGTGAGTCTATGCCTCTCTGTGTGAGTGACTCTACGGGTCTCTATGAGTGAGTCTACGGGTCTCTGTGTGGTGAGTCTATGCCTCTCTATGAGTGAGTCTGAAGGTCTCTATGAGTGAGTCTATGCCTCTCTGTGTTGTGAGTCTGTGGGTCTCTGTGTGGTGAGTCTATGGGTCTCTATGAGCGAGTCTATGCCTCTCTGTGTGGTGACTCTATGGGTCTCTATGTAGTGACTCTATGGGTCTCTATGAGTGACTCTATGGGTCTCTATGTGTGACTCTACGGGTCTCTGTGTGGTGACTCTACGGGTCTCTATGAGCGAGTCTATGGGTCTCTATGTGGTGAGTCTATGGGTCTCTGTGTGGTGACTCTACGGGTCTCTATGAGTGACTCTACGGGTCTCTATGAGTGAGTCTATGCCTCTCTATGTAGTGACTCTACGGGTCTCTATGAGTGAGTCTATGCCTCTCTGTGAGTGACTCTACGGGTCTCTATGAGTGACTCTACGGGTCTCTATGAGTGACTCTACGGGTCTCTATGAATAACTCTACGGGTCTCTATGTAGTGAGTCTACGGGTCTCTATGAGTGAGTCTATGCCTCTCTATGTAGTGACTCTACGGGTCTCTGTGTAGTGAGTCTATGCCTCTCTATGTAGTGAGTCTATGGGTCTCTATGTAGTGACTCTACGGGTCTCTATGAGTGAGTCTATGCCTCTCTGTGCGGTGACTCTATGGGTCTCTATGAGTGACTCTATGGGTCTCTATGTAGTGACTCTACGGGTCTCTATGAGTGACTCTACGGGTCTCTATGAGTGACTCTACGGGTCTCTATGAGTGACTCTACGGGTCTCTATGAGTGACTCTACGGGTCTCTATGAGTGAGTCTGTGCCTCTCTATGTAGTGACTCTACGGGTCTCTATGAGTGAGTCTATGCCTCTCTATGTAGTGACTCTACGGGTCTCTGTGTAGTGAGTCTATGCCTCTCTATGTAGTGACTCTACGGGTCTCTATGAGTGAGTCTATGCCTCTCTGTGAGTGACTCTACGGGTCTCTATGAGTGAGTCTATGGGTCTCTATGAGTGAGTCTGTGCCTCTCTATGTAGTGACTCTACGGGTCTCTATGAGTGACTCTACGGGTCTCTATGAGTGAGTCTATGCCTCTCTATGTAGTGACTCTACGGGTCTCTATGAGTGACTCTACGGGTCTCTATGTAGTGACTCTACGGGTCTCTATGAGTGACTCTACGGGTCTCTATGTAGTGAGTCTACGGGTCTCTATGAGTGACTCTACGGGTCTCTATGTAGTGACTCTACGGGTCTCTATGAATGACTCTACGGGTCTCTATGAGTGAGTCTACGGGTCTCTATGAGTGAGTCTGTGGGTCTCTATGTAGTGACTCTACGGGTCTCTATGAGTGACTCTATGCCTCTCTGTGCGGTGACTCTACGGGTCTCTATGAGTGACTCTACGGGTCTCTATGTAGTGACTCTACGGGTCTCTATGAGTGAGTCTATGCCTCTCTGTGCGGTGACTCTACGGGTCTCTATGTGTGAGTCTACGGGTCTCTATGAGTGAGTCTATGCCTCTCTATGTAGTGACTCTACGGGTCTCTGTGTAGTGAGTCTATGCCTCTCTATGTAGTGAGTCTACGGGTCTCTATGAGTGAGTCTGTGCCTCTCTATGTAGTGAGTCTACGGGTCTCTATGAGTGAGTCTATGCCTCTCTATGAGTGACTCTACGGGTCTCTATGAGTGACTCTACGGGTCTCTATGTAGTGACTCTACGGGTCTCTATGAGTGAGTCTATGCCTCTCTGTGCGGTGACTCTACGGGTCTCTATGAGTGACTCTACGGGTCTCTATGTAGTGACTCTATGCCTCTCTATGAGTGAGTCTACGGGTCTCTATGAGTGAGTCTGTGCCTCTCTATGTAGTGACTCTACGGGTCTCTATGAGTGAGTCTATGCCTCTCTATGTAGTGACTCTACGGGTCTCTATGTAGTGAGTCTACGGGTCTCTATGAGTGAGTCTATGCCTCTCTATGTAGTGAGTCTACGGGTCTCTATGAGTGACTCTACGGGTCTCTATGTAGTGACTCTACGGGTCTCTATGAGTGAGTCTATGCCTCTCTATGTAGTGACTCTACGGGTCTCTATGAGTGAGTCTGTGCCTCTCTATGTAGTGAGTCTACGGGTCTCTATGAGTGACTCTACGGGTCTCTATGAGTGACTCTGTGCCTCTCTGTGCGGTGACTCTATGGGTCTCTATGTAGTGACTCTATGGGTCTCTATGAGTGAGTCTATGCCTCTCTATGAGTGACTCTACGGGTCTCTATGTAGTGACTCTATGCCTCTCTATGAGTGACTCTACGGGTCTCTATGTAGTGACTCTACGGGTCTCTATGAGTGACTTTACGGGTCTCTATGAGTGACTCTACGGGTCTCTATGTAGTGACTCTATGCCTCTCTGTGCGGTGACTCTACGGGTCTCTATGAGTGAGTCTGTGCCTCTCTGTGCGGTGACTCTATGGGTCTCTATGTGGTGAGTCTATGCCTCTCTGTGTGAGTGACTCTACGGGTCTCTATGAGTGAGTCTATGCCTCTCTGTGCGGTGACTCTACGGGTCTCTATGAGTGACTCTGTGCCTCTCTGTGCGGTGACTCTACGGGTCTCTATGAGTGACTCTACGGGTCTCTATGAGTGAGTCTATGCCTCTCTATGTAGTGACTCTACGGGTCTCTATGTAGTGACTCTATGGGTCTCTATGAGTGAGTCTGTGCCTCTCTATGTAGTGACTCTATGGGTCTCTGTATGGTGACTCTACGGGTCTCTATGAGTGACTCTACGGGTCTCTATGTAGTGACTCTACGGGTCTCTATGAGTGAGTCTACGGGTCTCTATGTAGTGACTCTATGCCTCTCTATGAGTGACTCTACGGGTCTCTATGAGTGACTCTATGCCTCTCTATGTAGTGACTCTATGGGTCTCTATGAGTGACTCTATGCCTCTCTATGTAGTGACTCTATGGGTCTCTATGAGTGAGTCTATGCCTCTCTGTGTGAGTGAGTCTACGGGTCTCTATGAGTGAGTCTGTGCCTCTCTATGTAGTGACTCTATGCCTCTCTATGAGTGACTCTACGGGTCTCTATGAGTGACTCTATGCCTCTCTATGTAGTGACTCTATGCCTCTCTATGAGTGACTCTACGGGTCTCTATGAGTGACTCTATGCCTCTCTGTGCGGTGACTCTACGGGTCTCTATGAGTGAGTCTATGCCTCTCTGTGCGGTGACTCTACGGGTCTCTATGAGTGAGTCTGTGCCTCTCTGTGCGGTGACTCTACGGGTCTCTATGAGTGACTCTATGGGTCTCTATGAATGACTCTACGGGTCTCTATGAGTGACTCTACGGGTCTCTATGAGTGACTCTATGCCTCTCTGTGCGGTGACTCTACGGGTCTCTATGAGTGAGTCTATGCCTCTCTATGAGTGACTCTACGGGTCTCTATGAGTGACTCTACGGGTCTCTATGAGTGAGTCTATGCCTCTCTGTGTGGTGACTCTGTGCCTCTCTATGTAGTGAGTCTACGGGTCTCTATGAGTGACTCTATGCCTCTCTGTGCGGTGACTCTACGGGTCTCTATGAGTGAGTCTATGCCTCTCTGTGCGGTGACTCCACCCCTCTCACCTGCACCGCCTTCCCGACACTGCCGCTGGCTTCACCGTCCCGAGCTGCCCCTCCCGCTCCCGCCCCCCTCTCCTCCTCCACCACCTCAGCGGCTCCACCCGCGGCTCCACCCGCGGCTCCACCCGCTGAGTCCGTGGCGAGCAGCTGGGCCAGGTGGAGCTGCTCAGTTTCACGGAGGGCCTCGAGGAAGGCCTCGAACGCAGCCTCACCTCGCCTGGGCAGGAGGCTCAGCAGCTCGCTGTTCCGTCGCCGGGCAACGGGGATGGCCTGGGGGGGGTGGGGGGAGGGGTGGGGGGAGGGGTGGGGGGAGAGAGACTCACCAGCTCGCTCACCCACTCACTCACTCATCCACTCACTCAACCACTCACCCACTCACTCACTCATCCACTCACTCACTCACTCATCCACTCACTCACTCATCCACTCACTCACTCACTCATCCACTCACTCACTCATCCACCCACTTACTCACTCACCCACTCACTCATCCACTCACCCACTCACCCACCAGCTCACTCACTCATCCACTCACTCACTCACTCATCCACTCACTCACTCACTCATCCACTCACTCACTCATCCACTCACTCACTCACTCATCCACTCACTCATCCACCCACTCAACCACTAACTCATCCACTCGCTCACCCACCAGCTCGCTCACTCACCCACTCACTCACTCACTCACCCACCCACTTACTCACTCATCCACCCACTTACTCACTCATCCACTCACTCACTCACCTACTCACTCACTCACTCATCCACTCACTCACTCACTCATCCACTCACTCACTCATCCACCCACTCACTCATCCACCCACTCAACCACTAACTCATCCACTCACTCACCCACCAGCTCGCTCACTCACCCACTCACTCACCCAATCACCCACCCACTCACTCACCCACCCACCCACTCATCCACCCACCCACTCATCCACCCACCCACCCACTCACCCACCCACTCACCCACCCACCCACTCACCCACCCACTCACCCAATTTCCCACCCACCCACCAACTCACCCACCCACTCACCGACCCACCCACCCACCCACTCACTCACCCACCCACCCACTCACTCACCAACCCACCCACTCACTCACCAACCCACCCACCCACTCATCCACCCACCCACTCACTCACTCATCCACCCACTCAACCACTAACTCATCCACTCACTCACCCACCAGCTCGCTCACTCACCCACTCACTGACTCACTCATCCACCCACTTACTCACTCATCCACTCACCCATCCACCCACTTACTCACTCACTCACCTACTCACTCACTCACTCATCCACTCACTCACTCATCCACTCACTCACTCATCCACCCACTTACTCACTCACTCACTCATCCACCCACTCACTCATCCACCCACCAGCTTGCTCACCCACTCACTCACTCATCCACCCACTAACCCACCCACTCACCCACCCACTCACTCACCCACCCACTCACCCATCCACCCACTCACTCACCCACCCACCCACCCACCAACCCACCCACCCACCAACCCACCCACTCACCCACTCACCCACCCACCCACTCACCCACCCACCAACCCACCCACCCACCAACCCACCCACTCACCCATTCACCCACTCACCCACCCACCCACTCACCCACCCACTCACCCACCCACGCACCCACTCACCCACCCACCCACTCACCCACTCACCCACCCACCCACTCACCCAATCACCCACCCACTCACTCACCCACTCACCCACCCACCCACCCACTCACCCAAACACTCACCCACTCACTCACCCACCCACCCACCCACTCATCCACCCACCCACTCACCCAACCACTCACCCAATTTCCCACCCACCAACTCACCCACCCACTCACCCAATTTCCCACCCACCCACCAACTCACCCACCCACTCACCGACCCACCCACCCACTCACCCACCCACCCACTCACCCAATCACCCACCCAATCACTCACCCACCCACCCACTCATCCACCCACCCACCCACCCACCCACTCACCCACCCACGCAATTTCCCACCCACCCACCAACTCACCCACCCACTCACCGACCCACCCACACACCCACCACACTCACTCACACACCCACCCACTCACCCAATCACCCACCCACTCACTCACCCACCCACCCACCCACTCATCCACCCACCCACTCACCCACCCACTCATCCAATTTTCCACCCACCCACCAACTCACCCACCCACTCACCGACCCACCCACCCACCCACTCACTCACCCACCCACCCACCCACTTACCCAATCACCCACCCACTCACTCACCCACCCACCCACCCACTCATCCACCCACCCACCCACTCACCCACCCACTCACCCACCCACTCACCCACCCACTCACCCAATTTCCCACCCACCCACCAACTCACCCACCCACTCACCGACCCACCCACCCACTCACCCACCCACCCACTCACCCAATCACCCACCCAATCACTCACCCACCCACCCACTCATCCACCCACTCACCCATCCCACCCACTCACCCACCCACTCACGCAATTTCCCACCCACCCACAAACTCACCCACCCACTCACCGACCCACCCACACACCCACCAAACTCACTCACACACCCACCCACTCACCCAATCACCCACCCACTCACCCACCCACCCACCCACTCATCCACCCACCCACTCACCCACTCATCCAATTTCCCACCCACCCACCAACTCACCCACCCACTCACCGACCCACCCACCCACTCACTCACCCACCCACCCACTTACCCAATCACCCACCCACTCACTCACCCACCCACCCACCCACTCATCCACCCAATCACCCACCCACTCACCCAATTTCCCACCCACCCACCAACTCACCCACCCACTCACCGACCCACCCACCCACTCACCCACCCACCCACTCACCCAATCACCCACCCAATCACTCACCCACCCACCCACTCATCCACCCACTCACCCACCCACCCACTCACCGACCCACCCACCCACTCACTCACCCACCCACCCACTTACCCAATCACCCACCCACTCACTCACCCACCCACCCACCCACTCATCCACCCACTCACCCACCCACTCACCCACCCACTCACCCACCCACTCACCCACCCACCCACTCACCCAATTTCCCACCCACCCACCAACTCACCCACCCACTCACCGACTCACCCACTCACTCACTCACTCACCCACCCACCCACCCACTCATCCACTCACCCACCCACTCACCCACCCACCCACTCACCCACCCACCCACCAACTCACCCACCCACTCACCGACCCACCCACCCACTCACCCACCCACTCACCCACCCACTCACCCAATTTCCCACCCACCCACCAACTCACCCACCCACTCACCGACCCACCCACCCACTCACTCACCCACTCACCCACCCACCCACTCACCCACCCACCCACCCACTCACCCACCCACCCACCAACTCACCCACCCACCCACCCACTCACCCACCCACCCACCCACCGACCCACCCACCCACTCATCCACCCACTCACCCACCCACCCACTCACCCGCCCTTCCACTCACTCACCCGCCCACCCACTCACTCACCCGCCCACCCACCCACTCACCCGCCCACCCACCCACTCACCCACCCACCCACCCACTCACCCACCCACCCACCCACCCACTCACCCACTCACCCACCCACTCACCCACCCACCCACCCACCAACTCACCCACCCACTCACCCACCCACCCACTCACCCACCCACCCACCCACTCACCCACCCACCCACCCACTCACCCACTCACCCACCCACCCACCCACCAACTCACCCACCCACCCACCCACTCACCCACCCACCCACTCACTCACCCACTCACCGACCCACCCACCCACCCACTCACCCACTCACCCACCCACCCACCCACTCACCCACCCACTCACCAACCCACCAACTCACTCACCCACCCACCCACCCACCTCTATGTCCTCCTTCATGCTCTGGGTCAGGATCTTCTTTGCGTACAGCACGTCAATGAGATCCCCCGGAACCATCTCGTGGATCAACCGCACGTGGTTCATTCTCAGCGCCTCCCGGTGCCTCCGCTCCATCTCCCACCTGGGACGCTCCACACGGAGCGGTCATCAGCGACGGCGGAATCAGCGGCGGAATCAGCGGCGGAATCAGCGGCGGAATCAGCGGCGGAATCAGCGGCGGAATCAGCGGCGGAATCAGCGGCGGAATCAGCGGCGGAATCAGCGACAGCAGCAGCAACAGCGGTGCTTAACCTGGGGGTGTAGGCTGGCCTTATACACTACTCTACTATACACTACACTATACACTACACTATACTACTATACTATACACTACACACTACACTATACACTACACTATACACTACACTATACTACTATACACTATACTACTATACACTATACACTACTCTACTATACACTACACTATACACTACTATACACTACACTATACACTACTATACTATACACTACACTACTATACATTACACTATACACTACTCTACACTACACTATACACTACTATACACTATACTATACACTACACTACACACTACACTACTATACACTACACTATACACTACATTATACACTACACACTACTGTACACTACACTACACTATACACTACTCTACTATACACTACACTATATACTACACTACTATTCACTATACTAAACACTACACTATACACTACACTACACTATACACTATACTATACTACTATACACTACACTATACACTACTATACTATACACTACACACTACTATACACTACACTATACACTACATTATACACTACACACTACTGTACACTACACTACACTATACACTACTCTACTATACACTACACTATACACTACACTACTATACACTACACTACTATACTACACTATACACTATACTATACACTACACTACACTAAACTACTATACACTACACTATACACTACACTATACACTACTCTACTACACACTACACTATACACTACACTATACACTACACTATACACTACTATACACTACACTATACACTACACACTACTATACACTACTATACACTACACTATACACTACATTATACACTACACACTACTATACACTACACACTACTATACACTACACTATTATACACTACTATGCACTACACTACTTTACACTACACTATACACTACTATATACTACACTATACACTACACTATACCCACTACACTACACACTACAATACACTATACCCACTACACGACTATACACTACACTATACACTACTATACACTATACTAAACACTACACTATACACTATACTATACACTACACTAAACTACTATACACTACACTATACACTACACTATACACTACACTACACTATACACTACACTATACACTACACTACACTATACACTACACTATACACTACACACTACACTATACACTACACTACACACTATACTACTATACACTATACTATACACTACATTATACACTATACTATACTACTATACACTATACTATACACTACACTATACTACATTATACACTACACACTACTCTACTATACACTACACTACTATACACTACACTTTACACTACACAACTATACACTACTATACTATACACTATACACTACTATACACTACACTACACTTTACACTACACAACTATACACTACTATACGCCACACTATACTCTACTATACACTACACTATACTATACACTACACACTATACACTACACTACTCTACTATACACTACACTATACTATACACTACACACTATACACTACACTATACACTACACTACTCTACTATACACTACACTATACACTACACTATACTATACACTACACTACTATACACTACACTATACACTACTATATACTACACTATACACTACACTATACATTACACTACACTATACACTACACTACTATACACTACACTATACACTACATTATATACTACACACTACTATACACTACACTATACATTACTATATACTACACTATGCACTACACTATACTATACACTACATTAAACACATTATACACTACAATACACTACACTATACACTACACTATACATTATACTATACACTACACTATACATTATACTATACACTACACTACTATACACTACACTTTACACTACTCTACTATACACTACACTTTACACTACACTACACTACTATACACTACATTAAACACATTATACACTACAATACACTACACTACTATACACTACACTATTATACACTACACTATTATACACTACTTTACACTACACTATACACTACTATATACTACACTATACACTACACACTACACTATACCCACTACACGACTATACACTACACTATACACTACTATATACTACACTATACACTACACTATACATTACACTACACTATATATTACACTACACTATACACTACTATACACTACACTATACACTACATTATACACTACACACTACTATACACTACACTATACATTACTATATACTACACTATACACTACACTATGCACTACACTATGCACTACACTATACACTACACTATACACTATACTACTATACACTATGCACTACACTATGCACTACACTATGCACTACACTATGCACTACACTACACACTACACTACTCTACTATACACTACACTTTACTATACACTACACTATACACTACTATACACTACATTATACACTACACACTACACTATACACTGCACTATACACTACTATACACTACATTATACACTACACACTACACTATACACTACTATATACTACACTATACACTACACTACTATACACTACACTATACACTACACACTACTATACACTACACTATACACTACATTATACACTACACACTACTATACACTACTATACACTACACTATTATACACTACTATGCACTACACTACTTTACACTACACTATACACTACTATATACTACACTATACACTACACTATACCCACTACACTACACACTACAATACACTATACCCACTACACGACTATACACTACACTATACACTACTATATACTACACTATACACTACACTATACACTACATTATACACTACACTATACACTACTATATACTACACTATACACTACACTACTATACACTACACTATACACTACACTACTATACACTACTCTACACACTACTATACACTACACTATACACTACATTATACACTACACTATACACTACTTCCACTATACCCACTACACGACTATACACTGAGGCATCTAAATCATCATCATCAGCTCCATCTGCTTCATCACCACCACCACCACCAACAACAACAGCCGCCATTCGCCACCAAGCGGCGGTGACGTCACCACGTGCCAGGCTAGGTGCACTTTGAGGCTATCACCTGAAGTGCCGAGGGCTCGCTGCTGACAGGAGGAGGTCATGGGTTGGCTGCTGTGCCAGGCTAGGTGCATGAGGAGGTCATGGGTCATACACTGCAGGTGCCATGGGTTGACTGCTGTGCTGGGTCTCTATGAGTATGGGTCTCTATGAGTATGGGTCTCTATGAGTATGGGTCTCTATGAGTATGGGTCTCTATGGGTCTCTGTGAATCTCTATGAGTATGGGTCTCTATGGGTCTCTGTGGGTCTCTATGAGTATGGGTCTCTGTGAATCTCTATGAGTATGGGTCTCTATGGGTCTCTGTGGGTCTCTATGAGTATGGGTCTCTATGAGTATGGGTCTCTGTGAGCCTCTATGAGTCTCTCTGGGTCTCTATGAGTACGGGTCTCTGTGAATCTCTATGAGTATGGGTCTCTATGGGTCTCTGTGGGTCTCTATGAGTATGGGTCTCTATGGGTCTCTGTGGGTCTCTATGAGTATGGGTCTCTATGGGTCTCTGTGGGTCTCTGTGAGTCTGAGTAAAGGTCTCTGTGAATCTCTATGAGTGCCTGTGAGTCGCTGTGGGTCTCTATGAGTATGGGTCTCTATGAGTATGGGTCTCTGTGAGTCTATGTGGGTCTCTATGAGTATGGGTCTCTGTGAGTCTCTGTGGGTCTCTATGAGTATGGGTCTCTGTGGGGCTCCATGGGTCTCTGTGAGCCTCTATGAGTCTCTGTGGGTCTCTATGAGTATGGGTCTCTGTGAATCTCTATGAGTGTCTGCGAGTCTCTGTGGGTCTCTATGAGTATGGGTCTCTGTGAGCCTCTATGAGTCTCTGTGGGTCTCTATGAGTATGGGTCTCTCTGGGTCTCTATGAGTATTGGTCTCTATGGGTCTCTATGAGTATGGGTCTCTATGGGTCTCTGTGGGTCTCTATGAGTATGGGTCTCTATGGGTCTCTATGAGTATGGGTCTCTGTGAGTCTGAGTAAAGGTCTCTGTGAATCTCTATGAGTGCCTGTGAGTCTCTGTGGGTCTCTATGAGTATGGGTCTCTATGAGTATGGGTCTCTGTGGGGCTCCATGGGTCTCTGTGAGCCTCTATGAGTCTCTGTGGGTCTCTATGAGTATGGGTCTCTGTGAATCTCTGAGTATCTGCGAGTCTATGTGGGTCTCTATGGGTCTCTGTGGGTCTCTATGAGTATGGGTCTCTGTGAATCTCTATGAGTGTCTGTGAGTCTCTGTGGGTCTCTATGAGTATGGGTCTCTGTAGGTCTCTGTGGGTCTCTGTGAGTATAGGTGTCTGTGGGTCTCTGTGGGTCTCTATGAGTCTCTATGAGTATGGGTCTCTGTGAGCCTCTATGAGTCTCTGTGGGTCTCTATGAGCATGGGTCTCTGTGAATCTCTATGAGTGTCTGTGAGTCTCTGTGGGTCTCTATGAGTGTCTGTGGGTCTCTGTGGGTCTCTATGGGTATGGGTCTCTATGGGTCTCTATGAGTGTCTGTGGGTCTCTGTGGGTCTCTATGAGTGTCTGTGGGTCTCTGTGGGTCTCTATGGGTATGGGTCTCTATGAGTATGGGTCTCTGTGGGGCTCCATGGGTCTCTGTGAGCCTCTATGAGTCTCTGTGGGTCTCTATGAGTATGGGTCTCTGTGAATCTCTGAGTGTCTGCGAGTCTATGTGGGTCTCTATGGGTCTCGGTGGGTCTCTATGAGTATGGGTCTCTGTAAATCTCTATGCGTGTCTGTGAGTTTCTGTGGGTCTCTATGAGTATGGGTCTCTATGGGTATGGGTCTCTATGGGTCTCGGTGGGTCTCTATGGGTACGTGTCTCTGTGGGTCTGTATGAGTATGGGTCTCTATGGGTCTCTGTGGGTCTCTATGAGTATGGGTCTCTGTGAATCTCTATGAGTATGGGTCTCTATGGGTCTCTGTGGGTCTCTATGGGCCTCTGTGGGTCTCTATGAGTATGGGTCTCGGTGGGTCTATATTTTTCGCTGACATTCCACGTTAGGGTGACCGGGGGCAAGTACATCCATCGTACCCTTTTGGCTGTGCCGGTGTTAAAATAATAGTAACAAACACACGATAGGAGTTTGCAAAGTATAGGAAAGTTACGATAATCAGTTTAACAAAATATACATACGAATAAAAAACACACATTTAAAGCTGAATTGTAACGGATAAAAACGTTTACATTTAAAAGTGTAAGAATATGTAACTTCGTCAATTGCTCAGTCACGAAACAACGCGAGCGAACGTAAAGATGTTTAACTTTAAAGTGGGAAAAAAAACTTTAAATTGGAAGAAAGTAAAGTTACGGTCTTTCATTGGATTATACCGCCTCGGCCTGGGTCCCCCCTGCGGGGGTCAGGGGCGCCTATCGCGGCAGCGGAACTAGGACACGCGGAAGGCCTTTCAGGCTTCGCTCTGTCTCCAACGGTGACCTACAGACTCACCACACAGAGACCCACAAACTCACCCACGCACAGAGACCAATATACGCATTACACAGAGACCCATAGATTCACCGTTAAACTAAAAACAACAAAAAAGTTACAGTCTTTATTGGATTCGCCCGCCTCGGCCTGGATCCCCCTTTGCGGGGATCTCGGGCGCCTGTCGCGGCAGCGGAACTAGGAAAAGCGGAAGGCCTATCAGGCTCCACTCTTTCTCACACGGAGATCAATAGACTCTCCACACAGAGACCCACAGACTCATCACACAGAGACCCATAGACTCACCACACAGAGACCCATAGACTCACCACACAGAGACCCACAGACTCACCACACAGAGACCCATGGACTCATCACACAGAGACCCATAGACTCACCACACAGAGACCCATAGACTCATCACACAGAGACCAATAGACTCACCACAGAGACCCACAGACTCACCACACAAAGACCCACAGACTCACCACACAGAGACCCATAGACTCACCACAGAGACCCGTAGACTCACCACAGAGACCCGCAGACTCACCACACAGAGACCCACAGACTCACCACACAAAGACCCATAGACCCACCACACAGAGACCCATAGACTCACCACACAGAGACCCATAGACTCACCACACAGAGACCCATAGACTCACCACACAAAGACCCACAGACCCACCACACAGAGACCCACAGACTCACCACACAGAGACCCATAGACTCACCACACAAAGACCCACAGACCCACCACACAGAGACCCACAGACTCACCACACAGAGACCCACAGACTTATCACACAGAGACCCATAGACTCATCACACAGAGACCCACATACTCACCACACAGAGACCTATAGACTCACCACAGAGACCCGTAGACTCACCCCACAGACTCACCCCACAGACTCATCACACTCACACAGAGACCCATAGACTCACCACACAGAGCCACAGACTCACCACACAGATGCCCATAGACTCACCACACAGAGACCCACAGACCCACCACACAGAGACCCATAGACTCACCACACAGAGACCCACAGACTCACCACGCAGAGACCCATAGACTCATCACACAGAGACCCACAGACTCACCACACAGAGACCCACAGACTCACCACACAGAGACCCACAGACTCACCACACAGAGACCCACAGACTCACCACACAGAGACCCATAGACTCACCACACAGAGAGCCACAGATTCACCACACAGAGACCCATAGACTCACCACACAGATACCCTCAGACTCACCACACAGAGACCCATAGACTCACAACACAGAGACCCACAGACTCACCACACAGAGACCCACAGACTCACCACACCGAGACCCTCAGACTCACCACACAGAGACCCATAGACCCACCACACAGAGACCCATAGACTCATCACTACACAGAGACCCACACTCACCAGAGAGACCCACAGACTCACCACACAGAGACCCACAGACCCACCACACAGAGACCCACAGACTCACCACACAGAGACCCGCAGACTCATCACACAGAGACCCACAGACTCACCACACAGAGACCCACAGACTCACCACACAGAGACCCACCACACAGAGACCCACAGACCCACCACACAGAGACCCACCACACAGAGACCCACAGACTCACCATACAGAGACCCATAGACTCACCACACAGAGACCCACAGACTCACCACACAGAGACCCATAGACTCACCACACAGAGACCCACAGACACACCACACAGAGACCCACCACACAGAGACCCACAGACACACCACACAGAGACTCACCACACAGAGACCCACAGACTCACCACACAGAGACCCACAGACTCACCACACAGAGACCCACCACACAGAGATCCACAGACTCACCACACAGAGACCCACAGACCCACCACACAGAGACCCACCACACAGAGACCCACAGACTCACCACACAGAGACTCACAGACCCACCACACAGAGACTCACCACAGAGAGACCCACAGACTCACCACACAGAGACTCACCACACAGAGACCCACAGACTCATCACACAGAGACCCACAGACTCACCACACAGAGACCCACAGACTCACCACACAGAGACCCACAGACTCACCACTCATCACACTCCCGCCTTTTTACTCACCTACCCTTGGCAGTGCGGCGAATGAGCAGGGCTGTCTCGCGTGGAGGCAAGGTTAACGGCTTAAAGCAAACACCGCGTTCAAAATCATCACCTCGTAGCTAATGAAACCATCAACAACCATCAACAACCAAACAGCACGAACAGCAGCAGCTGTTCCTGTTGATGTTTCGAGGACCTTTTGAAATTTTCTAGCGGGGTCCACGGGTCGAAAGTTTCCCTCGCCGTCAACCGCCCCCAGGGCGCTCTCAACGCGCGCCGCTCCCACGGTGCCCCCATTGATCCGGTGCCCCTGGGGCGTCTTGCGAACGTCGATTAGTGATACGATTGCGTCACTGGTCGCGCGACCACGCCCCCCCACCCACCCGTCATCCACCACCCGTTCTTCTCATGAATATTCATGAGGAGAATTTTATCGCGTCACGCACGGGTCGCGCGACCACGCCTTCCACCACCTTCTCCTGAATATTCATGAGAAGAACGGGTGGTGGATGACGGGTGGGGAGGGGGCGTGGTCCTCATGAATATTCATGAATATTCATGAGGATGAATATTCATGAGGAGAACTTTTTTTGAATTTTTTTTTGAAATTCTGCCGTGTGTGTGTGGGGGAGGGGGGGAGGTCACGTGGTCGGGCTGCAGTAGTCTTCGACTTACGAACGGTTTCGGTTCGATCTGGTCCTCGACTTACGACCGCAAAATGACGTTGACCTGTGGACCGGGGCCGTTCGTAAGTCGAACACGCAACGTAATGAAGGCAAGTCCTCGACTTACGGAGGCAATTGGTTTATTAAATCTTGATTTGAAGCACGTAGGAACTATGCGGCAATCCCATACCGTAGCTATCCGTGGTGCTAAAGTTGAGGGTAAGAATCCACCCATTTTTTCGCCATATAGCATTGTGATATATAACGACTTATTGTTGGTAGCTTAGCTGATTGGAGAATATAGAGTTTATTGATAACATTAAGGTAATTTATATTTTAGTTTTTATTGGTTCACTATATAGTACTGTGAATAGCTCAGATGTGTAGGCCTTGACTTCAACATAGTAATTTCTGTGACCAGTCACTAGCTAATCACTCAGTTATTTCAATGCTAAATTCGCCTAGTTATTTCAATGCTAAATTCTCCTGTTGGATTTGTACTAAGTGCCTCGGTGAATGTGTATGCTCTGACTTTAACGTAGCTATTTCTGTGAGCAGTTACAAGCTAATCACTCAGCTATTTCAATGCTAAATTCTATGCTAATTCCATTGTCAAGGGGTGCCTCTGCGGATGTGTATGCTTTAACTTAGCTATTTCAATGCTAAATTATATGCTAATTCCTTTGTCAAGGGGTGCCTCTGCGGATGTGTATGCTTTAACTTTTAACATAGCTATTTCTGTGACCAGTCACAAGCTAATCGTTCAGCCATTTCAATGCTAAATTATATGCTAATTCCTTTGTCAAGGGGTGCCTCTGCGGATGTGTATGCTTTAACTTAGCTATTTCAATGCTAAATTCTATGCTAATTCCTTTAACAAGGGGTGCCTCTGCGGATGTGTATGCTTTAACTTTTAACATAGCTATTTCTGTGACCAGTCACAAGCTAATCATTCAGCCATTTCAATGCTAAATTCTATGCTAATTCCTTTGTCAAGGGGTGCCTCTGCGGATGTGTATGCTTTAACTTTTATCATAGCTATTTCTGTGACCAGTCACAAGCTAATCACTCAGCCATTTCAATGCTAAATTCTATGCTAATTCCTTTGTCAAGGCGCTTTGTTCCTCTCACACAGCTTAAAGGCCGTGATCTGAACGTGGCTCTTTCACTTCAGCGCTGTCCTACCAGACAGTCTCGTCCCTTCACCTGATGAAGGCCGCTTGTGTTGTGGCCGAAACTTCGTGAGAATATTATTATTGTGTTATTTTATCAATTTATTATTTTATTCTCATTCTACGTGGTGGTGACTTTACCGAAAGAACCAAAGAAGATGAATCCCATACCAGTTGGTTATTTCGGTAAAGTCACGTGGGTAGACGCAACACACGAACACTGACACCTTCATTCAAGGGACATCGTGTTTGCACTAACGACAACGCAGGCGGTCAAAAACGCAACACAAAAATAGTCAACTCTGATGATAATAATCTTCCCGAAGAAGGCCGCTTGTGTCGCGGCCGAAACGTCGTGAGAATTTTAATCGTGTGATTTCATTTCAATAATTTATTATTTTATCATTCTCATTCCACGTGGTGGTGACTTTTACCGAAAGCAACCAAAGAAGATGAATCCTTGCAGTCACGAATGTTTTAAATCGAAATTTAAAATCTGATAATATTAATAATGATATTGGCACCGTCCTTTGAAATTTGCTTGGTCCACACCAGAGAGACGGCTTTTCTTAGAGGCCCTTTAGTCTCTCCACTGGTGTTGGACCAGATGACACCACAAGGCGTACAACTCAGCGCACCATCAGAGTTATTGAGGGCTCGGGGTGAGAATTTACATTATGAGACCTCCTTTGCCAGTAACAAGATATAGGAATAGGTTTTTACCCTTTTAACTGGCACAAAAACTGACACCTTCATTCAAGGGCATCGTGTTTGCTAATAACCACAACACAAGCAGTCAAAATGCAAACAAAAAGAGACAACTCTGATAATAATAATATTGGCACTGTCCTTGAATTTGATTGGTCCACACCAGAGAGACGGCTTTTCTTTGAGCCCCTTTAGTCTCTCCACTGGTGATGGACCAGATGGCACCACAAGGCGTACAACTCAGCGCACCATCAGAGTATTGAGGGCTCGGGGTGAGCATTTACATTATGATACCTCCTTTGCCAGTAACGAGATATAGGAATAGGTTTTTACCCTTTTAACTGGCACAAAAACTGACACCTTTATTCAAGAGCATCATGTTTGCAATAACCACAACACAAGCAGTCAAAAAATGCAAACAAAAAGCGACAACTCTGATAATAATGATATGCACTGTCCTTGAATTTGATTGGTCCACACCAACAACAACAACCACAACAAGACAACTAAGATTGAGGCCATCAGTCTAACTCCGTACTACAATAAACAAAAACATGGCCAAAACAAAAAAACGTTTTCCAAAATCACCAAAATAAAAGCCATAAATGCAATGTAACAGTGATCATAGGGACTGTGAGTAAATTTTTAACAATAAACTACATAAATAAATTATAACACCGAAATCTAGAGCCATATTTTAGGCCACTGAATATCTTGTTACTGGCAAAGGAGGTCTCATAATGTAAAGGCTCACCCCGAGCCCTCAATAACTCTGATGGTGCGCTGAGTTGTACGCCTTGAGGTGTCATCTGGTCCATCACCAGTGGAGAGACTAAAGGGCTCTAAGAAAAGCCGTCTCTCTGGTGTGGACCAATCAAATTTCAAGGACAGTACCAATATTATTATTATCAGAATTAACTATTTTTGTTTGGATTTTGACTGCTTGTGTTGTGGTTATTGCAAACACGATCCCTTGAATGAAGGTGTCAGTTTTTTGTGCCAGTTAAAAGGGGTAAAACCTATTCCTATATCTCGTTACTGGCAAAGGAGGTCTCATAATGTAAATGCTCACCCCGAGCCCTCAATACTCTGATGGTGCGCTGTTTTTGAGTTGTACGCCTTGTGGCGTCTTCTGGTCCAACACCAGTGGAGAGACTAAAGGGGCTCTAAGAAAAGCCGTCTCTGGTGTGGACCAATCAAATTCAAGGACGGTGCCAATAATATTATAGTTATCAGAGTTGTCTCTTTTTGTTTGCATTTTGACTGCTTGTGTTGTGGTTATTGCAGACACGATGCCCTTGAATGAAGGTGTCAGTTTTTGTGCCAGTTAAAAGGGGTAAAACCTATTCCTATATCTCGTTACTGGCAAAGGAGGTCTCATAATGTAAATGCTCACCCTGAGCCCTCAATAACTCTGATAGTGCGCTGTTTTTGAGTTGTACGCCTTGTGGTGTCATCTGGTTCAACACCAGTGGAGACTAAAGGGGCTCTAAGAAAAGCCGTCTCTGGTGTGGACCAATCAAATTCAAGGATGGTGCCAATATTATTATTATCATCAGAGTTGTCTCTTTTTGTTTACATTTTTGACTGCTTGTGTTGTGGTTATTGCAAACATGATGCCTTGAATATTGATTTAAAGCTTTCGTGACTGCAGTAATTCATATTCTTAGCTCTTTCGGTAAAGTCACGTTGAAGGGAAACAATAAAATAAGGATATTTTATATATTTATTTACTTATAGAGCTAAGAATATGAATCCTTGAATAAAGGTGTCAGTTTTTGTGCCAGTTAAAAGGGTGAAAACCTATTACTAAAATAAATGAATTCACAATAAAGATTGTTTTTTTTTCGTGGGGTAGATCGCGTTATTGATCAGTGTGTGTGTGTCGTAACCCTCCACCACCCGACACGGCCAATCAGCAAAGCAAAAAAAGGTGTCACGTTGACAAAAGAACAAAATAGTTCACCGCTTTAGCCCCCACACCGGTCTCGTCGTCGTTGTTGTTGTTGTTGTTGAAGAGTGAATCCACGACATTCACGGTTTGAGCAGTAGTTCGACGTTTCGCTGCTAATTACATCCCCAGCATCATCGGGAAATTCGCCAGAATGTGAGGGCTCTACCATTCTCTTCTAGATCTGAAGCTTTCGTGACTGCAGGGATCCATACTCTTTGGTTCTATTCGGTAAAGTCACGTGAAAGTATAAAACAACAACAAAAAAACTAAAAATATATATAAAAATAAAAAAACAATAAATACTAACAATAAATAAAAAATGAAAAAATAAAAAAATATAAATACTAACAATAAATAAAAAAAATGAAAAAATAAAAATAAAAAATAATAAATACTAACAATAAATAAAAAATGAAAAAAATAAAAATAAAAAATTAAAAAAATAACTTTTTAAAAAAAAATCACGCCGTTTCGGCCACAACACAAGTGGCCCTCATCAGGTGAAGGGACCCCCGGCCGCTGTCTCGAGGACAGCGCTGGAGTGCAAACAACAGCCACGCTCAGGCCGCGGAACATTTAAGCTCGTGCGAGAGCAATTGAGGTGCCTTGGCAAAGGAATTAGCATGGGAAAAAATTGAACGTTTTTTTAATTGGCAGACTTATCGCATGATGAACGGCGTAGAAAGGGGGGGGTGGTGGTGAACATGTGCGGGTCGGCGTGGGTGGGGAGCGGTGAGTTTCCCCATGTTGA